ATGATAGATATTCCAGTCACAGAAAGCAGATTGACTGGGGACCACAGACCAGTCCAGGTCCAAATATCGTAATTACTTTTGTGTGAATTCTGTTATTGATCCTGTGCAATTAATCATTGACTGTTACACTGACATACGTAATGACATTTAATACATGGATTAACAACAGCGCCTTTGATTATCCACTCTGTCATTATATACCGTATCGTATCGTATCACATCACTGTTCTAATATATAACACGCTGGGTCAATGAGTTGAATGAAACTTTACAGGAAATCAGATTGTATGTCATGCAAGGTTCATTATACACACATCAATACATGCACTCAAACCCATGCACTCAAACCCAACTTAAACGTATATAGAAAACAGTTTGTGACCGGCTTAAGTGTTCAGAGAAACACTTAGAAATATAGAAAACAGCCTGTGAACGGCTGTAGTGTTCAGATAAACAGTTCCAAGTATCGCTGTAGTTTTAACCATGAATCAACTCTATTGGAATGCGTGACAGCAGAGACCATATGGTCTCTGGTGACAATACTAAAACTATACAACGAAACTCTCTTAATCCGGACTGTAAATTCTTCCAGATGTACAGATTTCGGATTTAAAAAATCTTCAAAATCATCTCTCAATCATATATGGCGGCAACGAAATCGCTTGACATGCATAACATTGTAGCGTCATTGATTACCATGACGTCACAATCAAATGACATCATAATCTCTCGGCCAGTGAAGCTGGCTATTCGTACTTTTAAGCTGAAGACACCGTTTATTACTGTTTACAAAGTCAAAAGAACTTGGAAAAACGAAGTTTGATTATAAATAAAAGCTCGCTTCTTTTGATTACAGTTTTGGCGAAGTTGAAGTGACCTACGCAAATACTTCGAGTTATCCAAGGGCCGACACGGCCGTAAGTGATGACCATATAAGGAATGGCTAATAAGGAATGAAATCTCAGTATTTACTTCGAGACAACAGTGTTTGACTGCATACCAGACAGACAGACAGACATTTGTATTCAGTAAAGGGGCATCAGGCCCAAAATACAAACATCATTAAATTTCAGTTACTGAGCATATTTTAAGTTGATCCTCTTCTCTGCATGATACAGGAAACTTACATTTACATTATTTTACATAGTTTGACTGTATACCGATGTCTATGACAGTTAAGTATCTCGGCAAGCCTTGGAGTTTCAAACTTGTATCGAGTCTAATTGATATATTTGATGTCAAAAGACCTGGAGATGAGTTCATCAATTTGTGTCGACATGTCTGAATTTCATTTCGTCCCCGGTACAATATAGAACAAGTTTTATGGATAACAACTTCTTTATTTCGTGAGTGCGACGTTTCGATACAGATTCTTGTACCGTTGTCAAGCAAGAGTGATACATGAAGTGTAGGAGCTGCATATATATACTGTATATAACAATGAAACAACATAATAGACAAAGGAAACAACATAATTGCCATGATTGGCTAAGCAGTAAGCTGAAGAAGCCAGTGAGTACACAAAGGATAGTGAATGGAAGCCAGAGATGTAGTTACAATGAGATGTTTGAACAATAGATGCGATGAAATAGTCAACAGAACCATCGAAGCAACGTTTTCACCTCCTGCCAAAAGATCTAAACCAGAATCAGCCCCCATCAAGATATCCATTCCCTACATTGGTAAACCATCACACCAAATCAACCGACTCCTGAAACAACAGGCAGGCATAGCCACAACCTTCTCAGCGTCCTCCAGCCTCAACAACCTCCTCCATGCCAACGGAAGAAAACAACCCACCGTCAACAACAACAACCCGAAATGTGTTATTTACAAAATAAACTGTGATTGTGGACAATGCTACATAGGTGAAACATCCCGACCCATCAACACCCGAGTCAAAGAACATCGCACCTCTGTTGCTAATTCCGACACCAAGTCAGCTATCTCTGACCACATCAAAGCTAACCCCAATCATCAAATAGAGTGGTCCGACATCACCATTCTCGCCAACAACCAAACGGACTTCACTAAACGCAAGCTCACAGAAGCCATTCACATCAAACGCCACAAGCCCACCATCAACCGTGACCAAGGATACTTCATTCCATCAGCTTATGATCCACTCCTCCACCAAGCCCAATCTATTGTATAAACATCGCATCTATTGTTCAACATCTCATTGTAACTACATCTCTGGCTTCCATTCACTATCCTTTGTGTACTCACTGGCTTCTTCAGCTTACTGCTTAGCCAATCATGGCAATTATGTTGTTTCCTTTGTCTATTATGTTGTTTCATTGTTATATACAGTATATATATGCAGCTCCTACACTTCATGTATCACTCTTGCTTGACAACGGTACAAGAATCTGTATCGAAACGTCGCACTCACGAAATAAAGAAGTTGTTATCCATAAAACTTGTTCTATATTGTACGTCTCAACTTCTAAAATGCCACTCAAACAAGAAATGTATATTTTTCATTCTAGCACGACAATGTGTGATACTCGATTCTGATTGGCTGAGAGCTCATCAAAACCGTACTTAAATGACAGTTTAAGGACCGCTAATTAAAGTTACCGATTCACCGCGTATGAATACAACGAACTCGTTGACCCTATTGTTTGTAAACAAACATGTCGGACATCGGCAATTTCTATCTCGGCAGCATCTTTGGTGTTTTGAAGTAAAAGCAAATGGTTTGAAGAAGAATTTCTTGACCCAAATCCCAGTGAAGAAGCTGGAAAATCCGTCAGCAGCGCAAAAGCGGCAGTATATTCAAAGCGGGTCCAGATCTACGTGTGTTGATGTCGACAACACACGTCGGCCCACGTCCTAACCTGACCGCTTCCGTCCCGGCCGTAATGTCCAGTCCTTCCACTTCCACTGTCCATGTATCCCACACAAAAGGTGTCATGTCAGGTCTTTTCCAAATTGGGAATAGTAGGGTGGTTATCAACAATTATTTCCGTGAATAAAGTTAGCGGCGACTAAACTTAGCCAGTTCACGGCTTGCATTTGGGCGAGTCGATTGTCATACAGTAGGGGAGATCATTAATTCGCTTTGAGAAAATTCAAATAATTGTACTTGCTCACAGAATAAACTGTCTTTTTAATGGTTCCTGAAATATAGCATTTATTTTGTTGAAAATGTCTTATTTTGTTCATTACACAACCTGTCCCTCAACGGGACGATTCCAAGCGATTTCCAGGAAAAAGGCCCTTTGCGCCTTCTGTTCTTGCGCGCCAAACAGTTCGGTTTTAAAACGCTTATCAGTCGTGCTAGAATGAAGATAAAGCTACTCTGTAGCTAGACCGTTAAATGTTTAATTTAAAACCTCACGTTAACGCGTTCGGTTTTAAAATTACATTTAGCGATCTTAAATCAACGATAAAGGACCGCAAAATTGAAAACAGAGTAGCTTTATCTTCTAATTAAAAACTAATGAGGAGTGATTTTTTGGTGATAAATAGAATCTCACCCTTGTAACTTTATCAACTCGTGTTGATATAACTGATATCAGTAGACAGTTGAGTGAGATTCTCTAATAAAACACTTTAGTCATTGTTATCAAAATAATTGTTTGGTTTATCTGAAATACTAGCATCTAAGATAATTACATCATTCTAATACCGTCCTCGTTCTGGATTTTACTTTCCTATAACATCGGGTTGTTCGCATTCGACATTATCACAGCTTTATATGGCATAGCGGTAGATCAACATTGTCAGGTACTGATACAAAAACTAAAACTGTCAAATTGATGAAGGCCACAGAATTCATTTTCAATATCATAACAAACATTCATTTCCGATTCCGAGTGAGTGAGTGAGTTAGTTTAGGTTTTCGCCGCACTCAGCCATATTCCAGCTCGCGGTGGTCTGTAAATAATCGAGTCTGGACCAGTCTGGACAATCCAGTGATCAACAACATGAGCATCGATCTGCGCAATTGGGAACCGATGACATGTGTCAACCAAGTCAACGAGGCTGACTACCCGATCCCGTTAGTCGCCTCTTACGCCAAGCATGGGTTACTGAAGGCCAATATTCTAACCCGGACCTTCACGGGTTTCCGATTCCGATGATACAATGAGTATGTGTTATGATGACACCAGGTGTTCGCCAAAAGGTGAGCCTATCCTGCCCACTGTCACCCCCCGTAACAAACACATGCAGGGGAAAGTCAATCGTTTACCTGAAATAGAATACGGGAACATATCGGATAATGGGAATTGCATATGTCAGCAATGTATGAACGATAACATAAGCAATCGCTCATGTCGTCTTGGTATGGGAATTCGGACCCGTGAATATCCAGGCTACAACTCGTCTTCACTCGAAAAGATACGGGTTATAACTGGTCTTCACCCTTGAACATCCGGGTTAGAATTGGTCTGCAGCGAACCATGTTTGTCGTAATAGGAGATTAGCGGGACTGCGTGGTCAGGCTCGTTGACTTGGTTAATACATGCTGTCGTGTGCCAATTACGTAGATCGAATCATGTTTGTCGTAATAGGAGATTAGCGGGACTGCGTGGTCAGGCTCGTTGACTTGGTTAATACATGCTGTCGTGTGCCAATTACGTAGATCGAATGTTCATGGTGACAATCACTGTCCTAAAGCTAGAATATTCCTTCGTGCGAATTAAACAACAAACAAACAAACAACAAAATGGTACGACATTTGGACAGTACAGGGTAACTAGCGTGACGAGTTGGTGCTATTAAGTGATATATATTACCTTCCTGATATGCACACATCAACTCGCCATACTGACCAACCGATACCCAGATGTCGCCATGACAATGGCGCTGTAAATAAACTACCGCAGGCTAGCCACGAGCTACTGAACACCAGCCGTTTCAATGCACAATATAGGACTGTTCGTGATGTGGCCGACATGCACCACGTCCTCTGCTCCAAATGACACGACGTGTATGATTGTATGGCCGCCAGTACTGTTGGCGGAATGGTGATAACGACAGTATAATACCTTCAAATCAGCTCGCTACCTCTGCATCTCGGCCGCAGGTATCCGACTCACACATCTCTGTCCATCCTTGTACAACGCAGAACAAATGTAACTTTACAACAGGTTACCCCCATCCGTGTACAAATATAGCAACACGTGGGCAATAAGCCTGTTTACTGATCGCTGTCGGCGTTTTACAACGCCCAAAAGTCGAGGCCGCCAAGTTCCCTTTACATATATATCCATTCAGTGCTTGTCCGAGTTTTAAGTCAGGAGATACCCTGGCTGAGAACATTCCAGGTACAATTGACACAAACCAAGGGCACAGGACGTTGAATGGAGTTGCTGCTGGTCAGGATCTCGACTGAAAACCTTTACATGCTGTGTAGGTTTGTGTCATACACATGTGAGTGCCTGTTAAGTTTCTCTGTCAGGGGACTATTGATCATGTGTATATTATATGTCGTGTTCATAACCATGTCAATCACATGGTGGTATCACGATCTGTGTGTATTGTGTTTACAATGGCCATTATGTCTAAGGTATGCACACTGTGTGTACGGTATGTTCTGTAGACACTGATGCGGGCCCTGCCTCCAGTTAAACTGTGCATTTCAGACACACCTGACACAAAACAAGGGCACATGTTAAATGGAGTAGCAGTATTGTGTATTCTGTGGCCATTAGGTCTAAGGTATGCACTGTGTGTACTGTTTGTACAGTAAGATGCTGATTCGGGTAATGCCTCCAATTCGAATACGTCCATCAGTTATCGTATTTGTTGTACGTACTAAGTGACGGTTGTTTATTTGTTTGTCGTTTAACGCCTCATTCATCAACATTACATCTATATGGTGGCTGTCTGTAAATAATCGAGTCTGGACCAGACAATCCAGTGATCAACAGCCTGAGCATCAATGTACGCAAATGGGATACGATGGCATGTCAACGTCAGCGAGCCTGACCACCCGATCCCGTTAGTCGCCTCTTACGACAAGCATGGGTTACTGAAGATCATCTAACCCGGATCTTCACGGATGATACGTGAAGGTCTTACTAGTATCTTTCTCTGAAGGCATTCAGTTTGGTTTCACCAGAGCCAACATCCGGAATCTTTAAAGTGGATTCAGGTGCCAAATTCCCCTCTAGACATGCATCCCATAAAAAAGTTTGTCCGATAATTACAAAGAGAGTATTAACCAAGAAACGCAATGCAATTTAGAAGGTGGTGAAATGTAACACTTGCTATATTTGGGATTTAACTTTCTCAGTAAAGTACAGATTCGAACCCCACTCTCAGAGTCAGCCACCTAATCGCCAGCACACAAAGTCAGCCATCTAACCCACTCAGCCATCGCGGCTTCCTAAGAGTTGATTACTACTGTAATCCCAAATATAACATGTACTCATGTGGGGAATCGAACCAAGGTCTTCGACTTGACGAGTGAACGCTTTCACCACTAGACTACTTCACCGCCGCCATCACAAATAGAAAGACTGATGTAAAAGTTCAGCTACATCATGCACGAAATTTCCGAGATGTCCACTGGATCAAACTGGGTCAAAACTGAAAATATCGTAAGGGACCATACCTTGATCTCCACACTTACCGAAATTTCATTACACTTATTATTTTTTTTACACAAATTGACGAATAAATTATATAAACTGCTTGTTCAGTATGTCTGTCATGGTGGCCATATTGAAACTTCTTGAACTAATTCAGCTGTCATCATCGTTGGGAACAAGCATGTGACGTTTCAACAGTAACACAGGTTGAGTGGGTTTGGCGTTTGTATTTTTTCAAGGAAGCCGTTTACACCGGACGCTGCACGCCGGACGCCGGGTGCCGGACAAAAATGTCATGACACAAGCTGACTTGGGATGAAGTGGACTGATGAAAAGGAGAGGAACAGTTTGTTTTGCAAAGATTGCATCGCGGATGAATGGCAATGTATTATATATTTTCTGCTTTGTGACAGGTAGGATTACAGTGTATAGGGTAATTTTAATGAAATTCGTCATCTGCATTCAACGAGATATGTGTATAAACGTTTCGATTTTTTCTCGAGCGAAAGTAAATAAACTGTTATACTCTTACTTATCTGCAATATTACAAAATATAACAATGGCTCAACATCATACAGCACTGTAGCGTTAGGGGTGGGATAAGCACCAGACAGATAATCTAGATATAATAGGCCTTTGAGAAAATATGTGTGCCCATACCTTTTGATGAACCAATTAAACTTAAAACATCAAAACAATTTTAGGTCATTTTACTTCATTGTTTAATAAATCAGGAAACGTCACGTAGAGCTGGATTTCCTGAACACCATCATATCTGCAAGAGCTTCCTGGATCCATATATACTGTGAATATAATGTTAAGCGCCACCCAGTATATTAAGCACTAATAAGACAAACAGGACGGGCTTTTAATGATTTTCAATAAACATCGTCAGAAGATTCAAATTGTTGAGGGAAGTTCCATTTAAAGTCAGTCCGTGACGCCATGACTGCTTTTAAACGTCACACTCAGTAATGTCCATCTATATGACGGCTACATGTTAACAATGAAATACCGACAAGACAAACCCGTGATTGATATTATGAGCACCGACCCATGGGGTACAAGAACGCGTTATCAAAGAGCCGGTCGTTGTACACCGTGGGTTGTTGTTCATTATATCAATCACGGGTTTGTCTAGTCAGTGCATCGGTTTTAACGCTTAGACGTCATATATGACACGCAATCAAAGAGCCGCGGTCACCTGCCCATACGATCCACAAAGTCTGCTCTCACAACCAACATAGATTGTTGGAACCAATTCTATCCTGTCTCTTCATGAGGATGTTCTGGTTAAAACATTATTGAGAGAGTGAATTTTGTTTTACGCCCTTTATAGCAATATTCGAGCAATATCACGCCGTTGGGCACCTGAAATGGGTTTCACAAATTGTATCCATGTGGGAAACGAACCCAGGTTCTCGGCTTGACAAGCGAATGCTTTAAACCACTAGGCTACCCCACCGTTTTAAAAATTGAGCGAACAGAGAAGTGCTGCAAACTTACCGGAAGCTGCGCAGTGGCGGCCATGTTGAATTACTGACTCATCGATAACGTGTCTGTATAGAAAGTTGATTTACACGTAGAATAAACCCAGAATAACTGCTCAAACATTGCCATCAATGTACCCTCGAAAGTGTCTAATGACGTCAAACATCAGAATATCAATTCAGGATCGACAGCTGATGTTGTAGCCGTTCAATAGGCACAGCCGTCCCTCCATATTTTCCCGATCTTGTTGTTGTAATTGTTGTTGTGAGTCCAGGCAACACATTCATGGCCGGGCTGGTAACGATTTTGTAACAGATGGTAACAACTCATTTTCATGCTCATTCAAATATCCTTTATTATCTTTTTAAAATAACCAAATTAGGTATATACATGCAACTCTTACCCCGAGATTGTGATATTGATTAAGGAAAACCAAGTCAACTTCTTTATTGCAATGAGTGCGACGTTTCGGTGTAGATACTAACACCGTTATCAAGCAAGTGATCAAGCAAGCATCACTTGCTTGATAACGGTGTTAGTACCTACAGAACTTGGTTTTCCTTCATCTTTGCAACTTCTAAAATGCCTCTCAAAGACGTTATGTGATATTGATTGGTGAATTCATTTAAAATGGTTACATGCACTACCATTAGTTAAAACTGGTTATTTTGTAAAATCGTGAACTTATCATTTTATCATTCATACGATAGGCACATTTACAACATAGCCTCGTTTTGAGCTAAATGACAAGCCCATACAGTTTGACAAGATTCCACAACAATGGCCTAACGTAACCGGACATGTTATTGTCATGAATACCTCTTGTTGTAATCATATGCATATGCATATGTTTTAGTACTGACTGACTAGAGCTAAAGATGAATTTGGTTTTACAGCCGCTTTTAGCAATTATTCCAGCAACATCACGGTAAAATGGCCAGGTGGTGGTCACGGAAATACGCTTCACAGATTGTACCCGGATCCCGATCAAAAGGGACGCAACTCTTTTATTTGCCTAGAAGTACGTGACTGATTACTGCAGAACATGCATCGTTCTGTGTTGCTGAATTACAATAAGTTGTTATTGTTCACGATTATAAATCCAAGCATTCACTTGAAAATATTTTAAAACCTTTTTCACGGAACTTACGTAAATATCCGGTGACCACTCTTTGGTATGTGGATTTACGGCACATCTCTTTTCTTTAAGCGCTCACAGAACTCAAGTCTCAGTGAATTAGCGGTGGAAAGTCTTACACAGCTTGTTTCCTTGTTCGGGTCGAGCTGCATGTGTATAAAACTTGCAGTGAACTTTCTCATATTGTCATTCCATCTGAGTTACAATCTTTAAACAATATTCAATATATGCTTACATTTCATGCCTAACTTTTTGAAAAAGTGGTGAAATTCGTCACGACTCGACCCTTTCTGTCAACTGGAAGAAGATCGGCATGTCCCGGAATAACACGAGTTGGTCACGAACAGATTGTACATAAGTCACGACTGCCAATGAGTCATATATGACGCTAACAAAACAAAGATGATTATCATGACAGACAGACAGACAGACAGACAGACAGACAGATATAGTTTATTAAGGTGTCACGTGAACGATTACATGAAATAAAATACACAATATACATAATAAAATATCGTTCACCCAGTCAATAAGGCTTATGAGACACCATACACAATTTAATAACTATGTACATTTCGTTTTAGAGTAAAATATAAGAGGTAGTTTAAATGAATAACATTTTTACAGGAATAGGAGTCGTCTTCGAAACATGTTATTCACAGTGGTTGATAAAATTGGCAGGTCTGACGACGTTAAAATACTTAATAAATGCACATTGTTATCATACTGAAAATCTCCATCAATCTCTATCATGAACCATCGTCTGTATCTTCAGACCCCGCGTTTCGTTTAACCTACACTTACCCCTATATCCAATTCCGAGGTCGTTGCGATCTTGAATTACCCGCCCTTGATTTTCATAAATACTCTTCCGTTCAATCAAACATCAAGAAAAAGGATACTGGAGAGGTAGATGACCATGAAGAGACCTTTGTTGAATTAAATATAAATTATAATGCATCCTTTATTGTTTCAGTCAGTTGAATTTCTAGCCAACTCTGTCGTTATCAGTTGGACTGACGGCC